GTCAAAAGCTGAACTTGGAGTTGGAGAACACCCCAGTTATCCTTTAACACTTTAGGTGACTTCTGATTGCCTCTACAGTATCTCTGGACTCTGGGGCAGCAATTTGAAAACTCATGCTATTTTCGGACTTCAACTGAGAGATAGGAGTTGAGGTTCTGTAATGAATGGTTGAGCAAATAATGGAGGCCCATCCCTGGCCTGACTATGAAGTGGTCAGTTTTCTATCCACACCTGCTGCTTCTGGGTGGGACTAAGTACAGCTCAGGGAGAGCTAAGCAGACTCATGGAAAGAAGAGAGGTTTGCAGTGGAGGGCACTGGCCCCAGCTTCTTCCCCCTCCCTGCCCCCATGAGGTACTCACAAGCTCTCAATGCACAAGTGGCATTCATTCCCATAGGTGATGTAGTCAGAACCACACACAGGCAGGTATGTGATGGGGCAAGGGATAGTCACCACTGGGTACTTCTTGTAAATGCTGCAGTCCACCTGTGACAGACACAAGGGGAATGTTCTGCATTGCTCCAGGATCCCAGGCTAGGCTACTCTGGCCTGTATTGTACAGGAAGCAAAATACCAACCTAGTAGTTCCAGCTCAGATATTCTGATGCTGGTGTCAGTACTTTAAGCACTAATTTCACTATGAAAAATACCAGTCACACTGGCACCACTTCTATTATGACTTGTGCATTCAGTTAACAATTCCTGAGCATTTCAGGCCAGGCAATAAACTTAAATCTTACAGGAATTTTGTTTAATCTTCAGAACAACTGAATAGAGTAGGTTCTACTATTACCCCTATTGACAGGGTTGGGGGAGATGAAGGCTTGGAAGAGAGAATTTGTATAATATCAAAGCTAGGAAGTGGTGAGGTTGAGATCTGAATCTAGAGCCTGTGCAATTAAGCAAGATCCTACCTCTGAAATGTTGTCCTTTCCATTAAGACTTCACCAGTCTCTCAACTGGAAGTCTTCTCTCTCTTTTCTAACCTGGGAATAATTTTAAGTCTATGGTTATTTATGTCATCCTTCTTCAAACAGTAGAGGAGATTTCTTTATGTGTGTCTGCCTCCACTTTTTACCACCCTAAACATACTGACTTAATGCTACATATATATTTGGTAATTATTTGTTGACTAAGTCAATAGTAACTGAAATGAAAATGTAATTCATTATACTCACAGTTCTTAAAGACAGACTAGCAGCTTCTGAAAGAGAAATAGAGATAGAAATGTTAACAGTAAAGCAAAGTCTTGAAGTCTCATTAATTAATGTCATTTTGATTCCAGAGATTAAGACTGTGTTTTCTCTGGCAATAAGGCTCAGCATACACCCCATTCTTATGCAAAAATTTTGGCTGTTTGCAAACAGTCATTAGGTAAACCCTTGGTTCAGGCAAGAGAATTACCCAAATCTCCTCCCTTCCTTACCAGGGGACACTTCTGGAGCTCATTGTGACATTGGTAGTGGTTTAAAGTCAGATCGCAACAGGTAGTATTACAGCCACCATTGCCAAGAACTGAAGCACCATCTTGGATATTCTTCCCCTTCTAATTGATATGAAGGGTTGCAATAACATTTTAAGGTGTTTACATCTTATTTTATTTCTTTAACCATATAAAAAGTCTAATTTTTGACTCTTGGCCTCTGGAGAATTGATTTAGGGAGGCATCCAAGTTGTTCTGCATCTTTGCTCAGAGGAATAGTATCCAATAACAGGAATAGTATCCAATATTGTATAACAACTTCCAATGTTCTTATGAAGAAAAGAGTTCATTTCTTTGTTCCATGGATTTTTTTCCAAAAATCCTTGAATGGGAAGACACTAGAGCTAACCCCCCTACCCTCCCAATTCTATTAGGGACATAAGATTCTCCCTTCCCAGGCCAGGGCCGTTTCTTTTCTAAACCAGTATGCTTCTGATTCTAAACCCATATAGTTCAAATCCACACAACCAGACACTTCTCTCAGATGCTCACCTCCTTTGAAAAACAAGCTTAATGGTTGTTCACTCTCTACCCTTCCCTCACCTGAGCTGCTACAGAAGAAGGTCACTGTGAACAGCAGGAGGAGGCTGCCAATGATCTTCTGGTGGAGTTGGCTGCTATGTAAAGGCTTCTCAAGCTGTCACAGAAGCTGTTTCAGCCATGAGGTAGGAAAGGGGCCATGTTTATATGGCAATGCCTGGCTTCCCTGCTTCCCCTATGAAGTCATCCAGAGTCAATGCTGCCTTTGAGAGGCTCTCAAAGCACAATGTCACACCCTGGGTGGTGTGGCAGTCCTTGTCACTTAGTTGCTACTTCCTATCTGACCAACACATTAATTTTTTGAGGTGAGAACTATTTTTCTGTCTGTCCTAAAGATGGGGACTGTTAGAATTCTAAACCTCTTGTATTAGAAGAACTTGACTTGGCCTAGTTATGAAATAAGTGAAAATATCACAATTTCTTTAGTTCACAAACACCCAGATTTGACAGATCATACATTTCACCTCGATTGGGAACTATTACTTGCCACAATAGAGTTCACATAATTGGTGTCATGTACGCGAAAATCCAAAGTGCAGTGCATGTAATTGTAATTGTGATGATGACGATGATTACTGATGAGCCAAGAGTTTCTGCTACAGGTTTCTGACATTAGCTTATAAACTGCATTGGGCCAAATGGCTGTTGTTTGTCTACTGAGTTTAAGGGCATATGAATGAATGAAAACCTGGGGGAAGTCAGTTTACTCTTCTCCCCCAGTGCTCTGCCCTGTAGGTTTATTTTAGTACATTCTGAAACACAATATCTACAAAATATTATAAGTTAATAAATTATGTTGAATGACTCTCTAAGTTTTTGATTCTTACATCTGTTTGTGGATCAATTGTAATCTAGTAGTAAGAATATAGCCATGGCCCAGCTGGTGTGGCTCAGTGGTTGAGTGTCGACCCATAAGCCCAGGTTGCAGGCTGAATCCCCAGTAGGGGGCATGCAGGAGGCAGCTGATCTATGATTCTCTCCCATCAATCATGTTTCTATCTATCTCTCCCTCTCTCTCCCTCATTCTGAAATCATTTAAAAAACATATATTTTTAAAAAATATATGGGCATGAAGTCCAGTGGATTTTATTAGTCATCTTATATTAAATATATGTTGACTCTGTGACTTTGAGTATATACGTTAAGCTCTGGATATTTTAGTTTCTCATCTGTGACAGAGAAATAATGTTTTACCTCACAAAGTGGTTTTGAGGGTTAAATGAGATTATATACATAAATTTGTGTGTGTGTGTGTGTGTGTGTGCCAAGATCATAATTAGAGCTTGACATGTGGTACTTAATTATAGGGAATGTGAGCGTCATTTTAACTCATGAGGAAGGAATTTGTATGACCCTTATTTTATCCGTGAGTAAGTTGAGGCACAGAGGATTTATGTAATCTTACCCAAGACCAAGATATGAATTAACGGAGAAGACTGTTTTGAGTTCAGTCATGGAAAAGAAGCAAAGAAATTATCCTAATAAGAGATTTTTGTAAGTTTTATTATTTCTATGAACTTTTGAAGAGAATGAATACTGAAAAAAAGCCATTATATTTCAAGAAGAGGAGTCTTCACTGCAGTTTGTAAATGCGATTTGAACAAAGAAGGGTGGGAATGGAATCAATGATGACCAGGGTAAAGTGGAAAGATAAGGCTACAATATTTTTTTTAGATGTGTGATAGTAAAGGGTAGGAGGAGAATGTAAGAGGCAAATGCTTCAGAAAGGTCTAAGCTAGACTTTGCATTCCTTAAAGTCAAAGGGAAGAAGAACTTTAAAATACATGATGGAGGGTGCTTAATTAGAGGAATTAGAAAAGCAGGAAATAAGATGAACAGCACAGATGGAAGCACCATTCCCTCTGATACAGAGACAGAGAAGACTAGATGAATCTAAAGAAGATATTTTGAAAGGTTGAGGGAGAAGAATGTGGGGAAACCCATGGTAAGGTTGAGTCCAGCTTTTAAATTCTGATGGTGACTCTGGCAGTGCAAGATTTGGGTTGGTCTGGAAGCTAGAGACGGATTGAAAAGGCTTGGCACAGACATCAATGGGAGCATGTCAGAGAATCAACTGGGCTATAAAAATGAACGGCCACTAGAAAAAATAGGCACTAGATATTAGCAGGTCCTGGCAGTACCATGCTGAATACTTCTGTATGGTACTGAGTGAGAAATGGAAAAAAGGGATTTTGTGGACAGGAAGTGTGTACATCAGAGACTTGAGGGGGAGCCATAAAGTCTGTGGCCGGCTTGGAAGAGAGGTAAGTGTTCAAGAAGATTCTGATGGATTATGCAAGGTGTGAGCCGTTAAGGATTCAGAGGTCAAGGTTTGGGCTTTGAGTGAACTTAAGTAGGTGTGGGCAATATGAACTTGAACAATTGTGTATGGAGGCAGTGGCTAGTAGACCAAGTTTCAGATGAATATCTCAGGGGTGGGGCTAAGATAATGATCCTCAGGGTGTATCTCAAGATAAAACAGATGAAGAATGGGTGGAGACAAAAGTCTTTGGGTTTTAAAAGGTGAGGAAACGTGAGGTCAAATGATCAAGTGTGAACTCTTTTGTAGTTTGGCAGCTATTCACACACAGAGAACATTTTCAAGCTGCACATTGAGCCACAAAGTGTAGAGGGTCCTCTGGGAGTGAAAGATAAGCCTGTGAAGAAAAATAAACAACAAACAAAAACTCTCCATTTTATGCCAAGGAAAGTTTATTTATTCCTCCTCATATTCCTGCAAGGGCCAAAACGGGAGGCCTTGTCAGAGAGCACCACTACAACAGTGTTTCCATTCTAGGAAAGGCAGGACAGACTGAAAAACATAAAAATAAAACAAATGTATGAAATAAGAAGACAGTTTGAGAGTGTTGAATCCTTCATTTCTTTCCCAGTGGACTTGGGGTGCCACAGGGAAGAGAAAGGTGACCCATTAGAGGGTTAGACACGTGTGAGAGAATTAAATTGGAGCATGGCTTGAATGAAGAGTTCTGGAGTTAGTTAGCTGGAGGGAAAACAGCACCACAGCTGGGCAGGAATCCAAATACAGAATAATGGCTGTTGTAGGAAATGAAAGTAATAATATGAAAATCAACCATGTAATAAGCACTTACTATGTGGCAGAGCTCTGCTACACCTGCTGTGTGCATGATCTCATTTAAGGCTTACAATAATCTTATAAAATAGAGGTGGTGTTTGTCCTGTTATTGAAAGGCAGCAGTGGCTTAGAGAAGTGGCTAGTTTAAAGTTAAGAGCCAATGCTTTTAGTAACTCTGATGTATTGTCTTCACATTTAACTTTAGAGATAGATTTGGAGACACATTGAAGATTGGAATAACAGGAGTGGACCTGGCAGAATCAGAGCCGTCAGGAAGGACAGCTGATGTTTCCAATGAGCCAGAGGGAGTTGAGCAGTGGGTCAGAGTGTGTGGCATTTTCGTGGGTGAGTATCATCTGGAGAGAGGGATGGGGACAGGGGATGATTGAGAGTCAGGACACAAGGGTTCTTTCCCTGTCCCCACACCGTCATCTATCAGAGGTGCAATGTGTGACAGTCCCTTCTCCATGTTGTGCTTCCTGCTTCCCAAACATCTAGTGAGATTAGCCTAGGTGGCTGCTTCAAGTTCTCCAATTAAAAATTAGTATTCTTGGATACTAACTTGTACGAATGATGAATAAAGCTGATTTGTGTTGAGTGGCAAGAAGTTGGAATTCCCCTATGTATTTAGCTTTTTATTTCCTAATTGCTGCACCAGCCCACCCCCAACCACCAGGCTCCTTCCTTTCTGGCATCCAGCAGAGACTCCACTCAACACCCTGCAGGCGAGGCCTTCTGGTGACAGTTTTAAAATCCATGGTCCATATTTGGCTGCACTAGCTCTAGCCATTTGTCTGTCCTCTTCTCTCTCTCTTATGTGATGATGCCTTTACACACCAGCTCCTTTCTTATCTTCTTGTTTTCAGTTTTTGATGTAGTCCCTATTGTGATCATGCCTCTGTGTGCAGTGAGGCACAGTGACATTTGCATTTTGATCATGTGTCTAGCATGAGTTCATTCGGATTCTCTTGGGAAAAGACATTAGCACATTCAGGAATATTATGTTTTGATTCTATTCAATTTTCTTTGAATGATTAAGAGTAAATAGTACCAATCATGGAACTATTGAATTGAACAGTAATGATTTTTTTTCTATTGGTTCATGTTGCTCCTAGACGACCGCACACTATCTGGATCTACACCACACACACACACACACACACACACACAATACACACACACACACACACACACACACACGTCCCTCTCATCTTTTATTAGTAAAATAATGTCTAATTTGCTCACTAGTGAAGGGAACACCTGTTGCCCCAGTCAGCCAACATTAGTGAATATATTATTCTGCTAAGGCTGCCATAACAAAATACCAAATATTGGGTAATAGAAATTAATGTTCGGCCCCGCTGGCATGGCTCAGTGTTTGAGCATCTACCTCTGAACCTGGAGGTCATGGTTCGATTCCAGTTAGGGCACATGCCCAGGTTGCGGGCCACATCCCCAGTGTGGGGTGTGCAGGAGACAGCCACTCAGTGATTCTCTCTCATCACTGATGTTTCAATCTCTCTCTCCCTTTCACTTCCTCTCTGAAATCAATAAAAATATGTTATAAAGTAAATATATTAATGTTCTCACAGTTCTGGGTGTTGGCAATGCTGGTTTTTCTTAAGGCCTCTCTCTTTGGCTTGTAGACAACTATCTTCTCACTGTGTCTTCACATGACCTTTGCTCCATGTGCAGAACCCCTGGTGTCTGTTAGTACTATTTGATAAGGGCCCAACCTATATGACTTCATTTAACCCCAATTATCCAAGTAAAGCCATGATTTCTAAACATAGCCACACTAGGAGTTAGGTCTTCAACACATGAATTGGGGGAGACACAATTCAATCTATAACATTCTAGCACAGTGGTTCTCAACTTGTGGGTTGAAAACAATGAAAATACATCCTGCATATAAAATATTTACATTATGATTCATAACAGTAGCAAAATTACAGTTATGAAGTAGCAACGAAAATAATTTTATGGTTGGGGGTCATCACAACATGAGGAGCTGTATTAAAGGGTCGTGGCATTAGGAAGGTTGACAACCACTGTTAGCATCTGTACTCCCACCCCCAAATTCATATCTTTCTTACTTGCCGAGAATCATAGACCTTTAATCTTAAAGACACTGGTATCCCATGAAAAGTTAACTAGTATTACCTGACTAAAGGATTCTCTGGTCAACCAGATTTGGGAAACCCTGAATACTCAATTTCATTTGGGGAATTACTTATTAAAGGCTCCATTATTATTTTTTTTGCAACACAGATTTTCCCCCCTACTTTTTTAAAACTCAATGGTTCCCAAACTTAATTTCCACAGCTTTATATTTTACAGAACATTAATAACATTTAAAGAGATGTTAGTGTTTTCTTGGACATTAAGAAAGGATTTACTCCAATTTTCCCTAATGTCATGATATCTAATATATAGACTTGTTACCAAGTAAGATGACTGCATTTTTGTTCCTCTTAGACTATTCAGAATTTTTTTTCAAATTCAAAAGAACTCCATGTCTATATGGCTTCCAGACATTCTAGTTCTCTACAATGGAGCCCAACAGAATGAATCTGCTCTCTCTTTCTAAGAAGATCCCTTCAGATATGTAAAGGCAGGTCTAGAGTGCCTAGAAAGGCCTTTTTTCTCCAGATTGGGCAAATCAGCCACTTTAATATTTTCTTTATAGCATGTAACCCTGTAAGTCCTCCTGCCCTGACATATTAACATACCATTACTTAGCGACAGTCAGACACAGTAACAATCAACCTCATCACTTCTCTTCTCTGTCCCAGTTTTCCACACTGCAGGTTCACAGGTGAACAAGATAGACAAGGACTCTACTTCTTGGAACTTACTTTCTTGTAGAATGAAAAGAATACATAATTAAATGATGTAATAAATGATTTCATATGTTGACAATTATTCAAAAGAAAATATATCATGGTATGAGGCTAGAGAATGACATGGAGATAGGGGACAAATTAGATTGAGTAATCAGAGAGGCTTCTCAGAGGAGCCTCAAGTTTGTGGCTCAAAAGCAATTTTTAGGACAACTGAGGGGGTAAATACTATGGGGCAAATCTAAGCTTGATAGGAAGTTTTGACAGTAAGAGTTCCCATCAATGACTGACTCTGAAAGGAGTGAGCTCCTTCTCACTCAGAGTCCAACAGAAGCTGCATGTTATCTTTTAGGAATCCCGTAAAGGCAGTCCCTCACTGAGTGTGAGGATTGTAGCCATCAGGGTTTTATACTTTTAAACAACAAGGATAGTATGTATTGAGTGCTTGTTATGTACCCTACCATGAATATTCTAGATGCCCTTGATTTTTTTGCCTTACTCTTCATGGAAATTTCATATGGCAGACTTCAGTGCCCATGTGCTCTAACAGAAGGTTCATGGTGCTGTCTCTCAGGACACGGTCAGGCAGGTGTCAGGCAGGCATGATGGGGTGGGGAGGAGATCAAGAGGGGCCAGAACCTAAATTAGGACCATCATTGTGCTTAAGGGACAAAGTGGACAACCACGGAATTTTTCTGTGATTATTTTTTAAACCATTCATTTATTGTTTGCTAATTATGTGCCAGGCCCAATATTATGTACTGTATGTACCTAGGTTCATGCTAGTTCATAGGAACTGCTATTGCCCCCAGTGGGAAATGCAGGAACTGAAACTCAGAGGTTAACTCACTAACTCAAGGTTACTCAGAAGTAGCAAATCCAGATTTGACTCCAGGGTTCTCTGTTTCCAAAGCCCCATTGTGTTTTTAGTGTGTTTTTTGTTTGTTTGTTTTGTTTTATTTCTAAGTGCGCTTTATAAAAATTCAAGTGTAATTAATATATAACATTAATTAGATTCATATGTGCAGCATAATGATTGGATAGTTGTATATATTGCAAAATGATCACCACCTTAACCAATAGTTATACATCTTAATCATTTATATTATAACCAAATAATTTCAGTCTGGCAGGTTGAACGCTTTAATATCTATAGGGTGTGGCAGCAAACGGATGGTAGTTCAGACAATCTGTTGGCCTCAAAAAGAAAGAAGAAAAACTGGAACTCAGACAGACAGGCAGCGGAAACAGAGACAGGGCGACCAGGGAGGTGAGCGCCCCAACAGAAGTTTGCCAATATTTTTGGGTGTCTGCCACTGGGATCCATTTCTAGGAGAGGTGAAGTGGAGAGTAGAAGGGAGGCAAGGAGCACAACCCAGACTTGTAGAGAACTAGAGGGTCTGGGTACAAGGCAGGTTAGAGAGAGGCAGCCCCAGCCAAGGTCAGAACAGTGGGGCTGCGCAAGGAAATACAGGGGGCTGGTATCTTGGTGCATGAAACCCCAACCCAGGCTTCCTCTTTGTTGAGTCACACGGGGCATCCCTGAGTCTGGCCTTAGTTCTACACCCTAATCCTATGTTTGAGCACTAAATGCCTCCTGTCCCAGGAAAGAAGCAACTGGGAATGATAGTTTTCTGCACCCTACAGAGCATCTTTCAGAACTCCAGCAGCTTTTTCCAGTTGTAAGCAGACACTCTAAAAAAACCTAAATTATTTTTGACTCAGTGTTTTCTTTTTTTTATTGAGAAATTCTGAAAAGTGTTCAGGGTACATCCAGCTGGATGCGTTTTGTTAAGACATGTATTTATAGACCTGACTTCCATTTCCTTGATCTGTACTCTTATTGTTCATGAAAATTCCAAAGCCAATGTTTAAGCATTTGTTCTGAGAACAACAGGAGGTACCTGTTCCAGACGGACCTGTAAATTGAATGTAGTAATGCCTGCTATGCTTACATATGAGTTAGAACTAATATAAAAAGGAAAGAGAGTGATATTTCTTATAATTGGAGTAGGCTTCACTTCTAGTAACATATTTTGGCAATGTATTTAATTGTTTTTTTGTATTATTTTATTCCTGCATCTCTAAAATTTTATGGCAATGTTCTTTTCATGTTACAAATGACAAGGATTTGTACAGTGGTGTTGCAAGTGCTGAGAGTAGAGGTTGAAATATAATGAGAAGCTTTAGGCTGTGGCTGTGCAAGGTAACTCCAGTCTCAGTCACTCCCACACGATCTCTAGAAAAGCATTTCCTTTTGTGTGTGGATTCCTTTTATGGGAACTAGAAGAAGGAAGTCAGAGTTTGAAAGCAAACAGAATGCTATGCATTAGGATGCTACTATACTTACAAATTCTGCGCCTGGATCAGGAGTTGATATCTGCTTTTAGGATTATCTGGGATAAAACACTATAATTCCTTGCTTACTTGTGACAGAAGTAAAATCCAGTTAATCTTAATTTAGTTTATTAATCAAGCATTATTTGAAAACACTCTTTATCTCTTCGATTTTTTTAGAACTAAGTCATGCACGGACGGTGTTTTCCTAGCTTGAGAAAGAAGAAGGCATCAGCTTTAGGTCCTTTGATTTTCTGATTCCCATATGGGTCTTAATTAGCTTTCCCCCACAGAATTTGACCATAAGGTGGTCTTTAGAAAATACCCCAAAGTGAAACAAATCTAGAAGATTTAGCTCTTAAATAAAAAAAAGTCAGGGATGTTTATTTCTCTCAGGTCTACTTTATTCTACAAAGAAATCAAGACAATGGTGGGAAGACAATATTGACGAAGACATGTGCCTCTTGTGAATGGAATCACAGGATAGATTCAACATCTGCCAAAATGTACAAATTTAAGTTTGTTGTCAGTTTTCCTGTGGAGAGGAAAGAGTAACAAATGAGATATTGAAGCCATCAGCATTTTATTAGCATCCAAACTTTACTAATGAACCCCAAAATGTACCAGGTTACCTCCTTTACTGACATATTTAAGAGGAGTGATTGCAATTTAGAAATATTTAACATAAGGAACAATGCTCATTGCATAAGGAACAATGCTCCAAATACAACACAGTTTATGGCCCTGAAAACATATTTTAATGGATTATTTTATTTTAGGTGATGTATATTTAGACGCCTCCTGTCATAACTTTGTAACTTGTTGCTTATTACAAAAACCATTCGATATATAATATACCATATATATTAGATGTTTGTTTTTATCCATGTATATTTTGGGAATAGTTAAAAGGAACTATATGTTTCTATACATTCTAGTACATAACTTATCATTTAACTTTTTTTGAGCTGATGCTAATATATCTTGCAGACAATTACTCTTTAACCTTTAAAGTACTTTTGGCGCCAACACCGGTTTGGCTCAGTGGATAGAGTGTCGGCCTGCGGACTGAAAGGTCCCAGGTTCGATTCCGGTCAAGGGCATTTACCTTGGTTGCGCGCCCGTCCCCAGTGGGAGATGTGCAGGAGGCAGCTGATCGATGTTTCTCTCTCATCGATGTTTCTAACTCTCTATCTCTCTCCCTTCCTCTCTGTAAAAAATCAATAAATATATTTAAAAAATAAAGTACTGTTGGCTATTTAATTTTTGTTAGCACTCCAACATACACATTTTGTGGAGAAATCATACTCTGAAACAGAGCAAGTTCTTTAGGTTTTGCAGCTATTGTCCCCCTTTTGTATCAGTCATTAGGGGACTCTAATGTATTTCAACTGTTGAAGCTGAACAATAAACATTCTACCAGATGCAGACTGGCATGCTGAGGAGGAGGAATGTTCCTTGTCCCTGGAAATAATCAAGCATAGACTGTGAGATGGTTTGGTGATGTTTTTTGTAGAGGGAGTGTAAGCAATAAGTTAGTGGTTGGAAGTGGAATTAGATTACCCTTAAGTTTCCTTCCAATTCAGAGATGCTAGGCTTCTCTGGTTGACTATTACTACCAGAATATGTAGGGGTACAATGCTACCAGGGACTCCAAATCCTATGAATTGTGAGAATCCCATTCATCACACTCAATGTGAGATGACCCACATATTCCTTATGCCTTAAACTACTTCTTTGAAATGTGATACATTTGTCTTAACACAATTATTACACTTTAAATATAGAAAAGAAAAATGTTTCAATACTTACACAACTTCAGAACAAAAGAAGCAATCATTGCCATAAGTTTTGCCATCAGATCCACAAATTGGATTATGTAGTCTATTACACACTCTCTCTTCTCCTGGTGGTAACTTTTTATACGTACTACAATCAAACTGAAAATAGATATTAAAAATCTTCAATTCCTTCTACCAAAGTTTTATTCCCAGGATTTAGAATTTTCTAAGTAAGTTTTGAAGGCTCTCAATGCATTCATTTTGTATTCTAGTTGTCTGTCCTCATCTAACTTCTTTGAAATATATCAAGTATAGAGATGTTTTATATAAGATAAATCATGAGTGGTAGCTGATAATTAAATCATCATTTATTTAAATGTAGAATCCACCCACTGTAGTTAGTACTGGCTGATGTGTCAGTTCTTAATGCTCATGGTACATTTTTTTTTGCCTGCTTTCTCTCTTTCACTTAAAAAGTTCTAAATGAATACAAGTGTGAGATGTATTATAGAAATACTGTCGTTTTAATAACTAGTACACCATTGACAACTTTAACTATTTGTAAGAAATGACTTGCTATACACATCATCAGCACATAGACAGATTTATGTTAACACTAGAGGCCCAATTCACAAAATTCATGCATAAGTAGGCCTTCCTTCCCTCAGATGCTGGCATCAGCTTCCCTCTGGCACAGGGGACCAGGGCTTTCCTCGCAGCACTGGCTTCGTCCAGAAGGTTGTCCAGTCTAATTAGCATATTATGCTTTTCTTATTATAAACTGTACTTGATAACCACTGTTTGAAATTCCTTGAGCAAAGCCAAGGGAATGAGCCACTTGTAGGAGCAAGTACACAACTACTAAGCAAGAATTTCCTGAGTTTTTCATCTATGAGCAAATTGAAAAGTGTGGACAGAAATATCAAACACATTGGAATTCAAATCCTGACTCTCTCATCCTGGGACAATAATTTCGTCTCTCTTAGCCTTAGTTTCTTTATCTGCAAAATGAAGGTGATATACCTACATTGTCAGATTAAAGTAACAAATGCATACCTGAGCAGATGTGTGTGAAATGCTTAGCAATACACAACATGGAAAACACTGAATAAATAATAGCTATAATTTCTCTCACTAGGCTTCCCTTCTAGGTCTGCACAAAATCCAGTTCTATATAGAAGACTGCATTCCCAGCTCTTTCTGCCCAAGAGTTCCACACATGATATTTTACTAATTGTTTAATGTTTGTACTTGGATAACCTGAAATATGCTCAAAGTTAAAGTTGAATTCCTCCTCCCGTACAGATATGTTCTGGGAGTGAACTTAGTCATTCCTCTAGTCACTGAGCCCTAGTCTTATAGCTGAGCTGAGTGCTGGAAATACAAATAGTAAGCATGCCGTGATAGCAGAGGAACCTCAAGTCTAGTGGAACAGATCAGAAAGTGTAGCGCCCCATGCTGAGGACACACAAGCATGATTTCACTTCCTGTCCTTGCCTGCTCAACTCCCAGTGCCAGAATTGGTGTGATGGTCAAATAGTGACCAGGAAATGACCAAGGCTAAATGCTCATTCATCCCTGTCATTCTCACACAGCTACTAAGTCCTGAAGGATGGCTTGAATTCAGGCCTGCCTGACTCCAAACTTATGTTCTTAACATTATTTTCTTTAATAGGTTAAAACAAAAGACTCAAAGACGTGAAAGGAGCTGCCTAGGCCACAGGGTCACACCGCTAAAAAGCTGGAGAGCTTGGACTAGAACCCATAGTGCCTGGCTGCTGGTTTAAAGTTTTTGCAGTCACACCTACATTTTCGTAATAACAGTCATGACTTAACATGAGCCATGAAGGAAAGCTTCACATGAGCCAAAATCTTCATTTTTTAAGTCAGAGAACAAAGAAACGTGTGGACCACTTAAAAATGGTAAGAATCAGGACTTGTCCTTACTGAGCTTTCCTATGCGTGGGTTCTGTGCTAAATCTTTCCAAGCACTAGGGCTGTAAGTGTCACCTGATCAAAGACTTGGGACTGAAACCCAGATGCTGGTATCTAACCATTTCCCCCCCATCACCTCCATTTCAGAAAGGTCTGTGTACAGTTTTTGAATAAAAGCAGTTTTGAAACTTTAAAAAATAACTGTTCAAATGGATAGCAACGTAATTCTGTACAATGTAAAGCTTTCCTTACTGATACAGGCATTAAAATTACATAAAAGTAGCACTTTCAAAGCAAGACGGATGTACTGACCTGTTTTCCAGGTGGGGCACATTCTACATCTGTAAGAAAAACAAGTACAAGAAAAAATTAATCTCTGGAAGAATCTAATCTCATTAGAAAAATAATATTTGATTTATGTTTCAGCTTTCTCAACCTGTCATGAAAAGTATAAGATTCTCTGTAGAACTTTTGTATCAGAATATCAAAAGTTAACGCACAAAACAGATTTTTGTTTTAAAGCAGAATTAGAGTGCAGTCAAAAGCATGGAAAAGCTGCTATAATAACGAGTCTTATTTCTTCCTATCATAATCAGAGTTTAGGAAATAGTAAGAGAAAACAATGGAGTTTTCTTTTTAGGAAGTGTGTGCTCTTTCGTAGCAGGCAGAGATGGCAGGGGTTGAGAATCCTAGGGAGTCAGATCTTAACTCAATACTGGAAGGAAAGTAACAGTTCATGCTGCCCAACAATGGGTTGGACTGCTTCATGAAGAAATCAGTCCCTGTAAATACTGATATCAAGTCAGAGTAGAGTCTGGATGAACACTTTCCAAAGAGGTTACACAAAATGGACTTGGTCTTAGTAGACCATTTAGGTCCAACTCAGTGCCTGAGATGATATGATTTAGTGATGTATTGGTAGAGACCAAACAAGTGTGCCTTTTCCAAAACTTCCCTTATTATCTATGTGAAGTTTATATCCCAGAATTATGTGGGCAGAAGATGACTGGAGCTATTGGTATCAAGGGAGGGGCAGTGTTATGAGGGAGATACTCACAGATTAGTGCCAGGGCCAAGAGCAGGAAAAAGGCTGTCATTCTCATGCTGCTGAAGAGGCGAAGGGCAGTCAGATGGAGGCAAAAGAAGTGACTTTCTGGTGTCTGCCCAGCCACTTGCCTGCTGCTTTTATATTGTCAAGAGTTCCTGCCTTGATTGTGAAACACCTATTTGCAGGATCAGAAACCTGGGAGGTCAGAAACATGTGCCGGGTATGGAAGTTCTTTTATTGTGAAAGACAGATGAATTTACATGACCGTTTAACAGATAATAGGACCCGATAAAGCTGGCATTATTTCCTTGTCTCTTTATGTCCTTAAAAGTGTGAGTGCTTTCACATCTGTTACACAATTTGATCTTCATAACAAATCTGTCACATAGTTATTACCGTTGCTTTTTGTTCTACAGATGAGGAAGTGAAGTTACAAGGAAGTTAAGTGATTTCACTAGTTTTACTGCATGTACTTGTACTACTTTTGCAAGAACTGTCATCAGCATGGCAGTTTATAGGTGTTGAAATATTCCCAGGATCTCCTCTTTCTTCTCTAGTGTCAATGGAAAATGTTGCCAATTGAGACAGCAGAATGGGCACAGAGAAAAGGTATCAACTGCCAATTCTTGATTCAGCATAAACAAGCAATGACTCATACCCTTTAGCAGGGAGATAATTTTTACAAGTATCCCACATTTGGGGATCTGGTACAACTGCTGTTTCCTGAGTTGGTGGAAGCTGCTGGGGGAGCAAGTCAGGCAGCTGAGATTGAGTTTGATTTCAGATATGAGCATGTTAGGTGTTCAATATTCATTTTTACAAATTGAGAAATTGTGTTCAGAAATTAATTCCTATGCATTTTTCAAGTTCTGTGCCTTTGTACTTGCTTTCTGTTTCCCTGGAATTACCTGTCCCCTACCCAACCCACACACTCAGATGAATTACAACTCAAGGGGAGGCTTCTTCAACACCCTAGGCAGAATTAGACTCAACTTCCTCTATGGTCCCAGAGCAAGTTGGTAATGCTTATGACATGCTAACCATGAATCAAGCATTATACTAATTACTGGGCATATAGAAATGTACGTATAGTCCTGCCCTCAAGGAGTTTACAATCAGATAAGGACAGAAGAACACTACCACCAACTATTCAGGACAATTTAAATACAATGTAATACAAGATGCAAGGAAACAACAGGTGAGCAAATGATGAGTAGTCAGGGAAAGGCTCTAATATTTATTGTGTGTATCTTGTAGGGTGCTTTGTGTTATTTCACTTAATCATCACAACAATAACCCCATATGCCAAGCACAGGGTTTAGGTACCCACTCAAAGTTACACAGCTTGCATGTGACAGAACTAGTTTACAAACTAACTCCTGACTCCTCAGCCACTTCTCTGCCAAACCAAATTCAGAGAAGATTTCACAGGAGGGCTACATTTGCGCTGAAACCAGAAAACCAGCAGCCATTTCCAGCAAAGGAAACTGTGCATGTACAGACACAGGTCCAGGGCAGAGGAGTGTTAGAGACAGTGTCCTTCAGAGATCATGGGAGAAGAAGAAGCTGGGTGGGTAACACCATGCTTAGGAGTCTGGATTCTATACCATAGACAATGGGTAACAGATGAAGGGTACTGAACAGAGAAATAATAGAATCAGATTTACACTATAGAAAGATTATTCCAATATGGTACCTAGTAATGAATTATATCCCAGCATTTATAAGAGTGTACAATTATTTTTTAATTCTTATTTATCTCCTCCTCTAGACTTTGAGCTTTAATTGAACTGAACTCCGTTTCAATCCGTGTGTATGTGATCACGTGTATATTTGTGTGTGTGTGTGTGTGTGTGTGTGTGTGTGTGTGTGTGTGTGTTTGCATTTATTTCTTGGCAGCCAATTGGGATTCATTGTACCAAACTTTCTGCTGAACAATCAAATATATATGTTCCTCAGTTTTCTGTGAAAACTGAGACCTTATACCCCGATCTAAGACACAAATACAGACAGAAGTAAAGGTAAACTCTCTGGGGAGATTCTTTTAATGAGGTACAAAAAGAAGCCAGTAAGTCAGTTGGGCATGAGTTTGAAGGAAAGCACAACAACTTTCTCCACTCAACAAAGATGACTCCACATCTGCCCCTGCCCCCGTCCTCCCCAGGCACATCCCCCAGAACCTCAGCCATGGTGAGGAACAAGGTCATCAGTGCCCAGGGATGATGAAGATGACACAGGATATCATTGCTCCCCACCCATGGCTATGGAGAAGTTAACATCTTCCTTCCTGAAGAAACTGAACCTTTCCATCACTTTTCCTACAGGAAGACACAGGTAACAATTCATTAGCACAAGAGGAAATTTTGCATAATAATAGAGCTGAAAGGAACCAAAGAGATCTTGAGGCAGAACCTCATTTTGCAGGTGAGGCAGAAGCAGAATTTCCCTAGGCTGGTGAATCCTCCACCCCACCTGCTGCTTTCACTGATCCCAGGGCCCAGGCTGGTCACCCAATGTCTTAAAACATCCAAGGAGGGATTCTGCCACAGGAAGTTGAAGTGCCTGCCCTTTAGCCTTTCCTGTTCAGCAGGACCTGCGATGGAGCTGGGTCCTGCTTTAGGAGGACAGCCTCCACCACACGTTCCCTCAGTGTCCTTGAATACAAGCTAGTCTCTAGGTCAAAGGCCCAGTTTGTGCATGTTAGAGAAGTGCCACTTTGGTGAAGCAAACATTCCTTCATAGGAGTAAATATGTAGACATATCCTTCTGGGCTTAGGGCTTAGGGCTTAACTTGATATTTTAACTTGTTAAGATAACCACAAAGATGAAAAAGACAAGATCTAAAATAAGTGGCCAAAATACCGTGGTCTAAAAGAGAATTAACAATGAGCAAAGTGCACTTGCTGCAAAAACAGTAAATGCTAAGTTGCCTGTTCTACACCAAAGAAGTGACATCTTTCTAGTTGTTTGCCTTCAAGAACAATGTGCAGGCCACACAAAATACGTAAAGAAATCATGCCCATGGGATGCAGGTCCAAGTGCTGACAGCCTGCATCCCCCTATTTTAAATATACTTTGATTCCAGAGAGGAAGGGAGAAGGAGTGAGAGATAGAACATCAACAATGATAATCATTGATTGGCTGCCTCCTACACGCCCCCTAGTGGGGATCGAGTTGGCAACCTTGGCATGTGCCCTTGACTGGAATCAAACCCTGGAATCTTCAGTCTGCAGGCAAACACACTACCCACTGAGCCATCCCCCTATTTTAGATAAAGGAAAAAATATTTGTGGTAGCCATATTCCCTCTATCCCTCTTAAGACTACAGATATTTAGAGCTACGAGGAAACTGAGGAGGATAAAGGCCCTCTAGCTACAGTTTTTCTAAGGAACAAGCTGTGTTATGGCCTTTCAGAAGTCATATAGGATAATAATTTCCAATTTTTTTGTCTTTATTGCTTTGAGAGAAAGAAAAAGGTAGATGTAGAGAGAGGTAGAAACATCAATGATGACAGAGATTGATTGACTGGCTGTCTCCTGCATGCTCCCCTACTGAAGATTGAGCCTGAAACCTGGCCATGTACCCTGACTGGGAATTAAACTGGTGACCTCGGTGCATGGTGACCACATCAGCCAGGCTCAATTGTTTTTTAGTGTTGGGCTTGGGACCCTTTCTGCAAGCAAGATATTATATGGAACTCCACAACTGGAAATAGTCAAAAGCTGAACTTGGAGTTGGAGACCACACCAGTTATCCCTTTAACACCTTAGGTGACTTCTGATTGCCTCTACAGTATCTCTGGACTCTGGGGCAGCAATTTGAAAACTCATGCTATTTTCGGACTTCAACTGAGAGATAGGAGTTGGAGATTCTGTAATGAATGGTTGAGCAAATAATGGTGGCCCAACCCTGGCCTGACTAAGAGGTGGTCAGTTTTCTGTCCAAACCTGCTGCTTCTGGGTGGGACTAAGTACAGCTCACCGAGAGCTAAGCAGACTCATGGAAAGAAGAGAGGTTTGCAGTGGAGGGCACTGGCCCCAGCTTCTTCCCCCTCCCTGCCCCCATGAGATACTCACAAGCTCTCAATGCACAAGTGGCATTCATTCCCAGTGGTTGGCAAACTGCGGCTCGGCAAACTGCAGCTCATGAGCCACATGCGCCTCTTTGTCCCCTGAATGTGGCTGTTCCACAAAATACCGACTTCTGTCTAGGGGCCACTAAGTCTCAATTGCACTATACGTGGGTGCCCGCATGTGGTATTTTGTGGTATTTTGAGGAAGAGCCAAACTCAATGGGCCAAAGAGCCGCATGTCGCGCACGAGCAGCATTTTGACCACCACGGCCATAGGTGATGTAGTCAGAACCAGAAACAGGCAGGTATGTGATGGAGCAAGGGATAGCCACCACTGGGTACTTCTTGTCAATGCTGCAGTCCACCTGTGACAGACACAAGGCGAATGTCCTGCATTGTTCCAGGATCCCAGGCTAGGCTACCCTGGCCTGTATTGTACAGGAAGCAAAATACCAACCTAGAACTTCCAGCTCAGATATTCTGATGCTGGTGTCACTACTTTAAGCACTAAGGTCACTATGACAAATAGCAGTCACACTGGCACCACTTCTATTATGACTTGTGCATGCAGTTAACAATTCCTGAGCATTTCCAGGCCAGGCATTAAACTTAAATCTTAGAGAAATTTTGTTTAATCTTCAGAACAACTGAATAGAGTAGGTTCTACTATTACCCCTTTTGACAGGGTTGGGGGAGATGAAGGCTTGGAAGAGAGAATTTGTATAACATAAAAGCTAGGAAGTGGTGAGGTTGAGATCTGAATCTAGAGCCTGTGCAATTAAGCAAGATCCTACCTCTGAAATGTTGTCCTTTCCATCAAGACTTCACCAGTCTCTCAACTGGAAGTCTTCTCTCTCTTTTCTAACTCGGGAATAATTTTAAGTCTATGGTTATTTATGTCATCCTTCTTCAAACAGCAGAGGAGATTTCTTTATGTGTCTGCCTCCACTTTTTACCACCCTAAACATACTGACTTAATGCTACATATATATTTGGTAATTATTTGTTGACAAAGTCAATAGTAACTGAAATGAAAATGTAATTCAATATACTCACAGTTCTTAAAGACAGAATAGCAGCTTCTGAAAGAGAAATAGAGATAGAAATGTTAACAGTAAAGCAAAGTCTTGAAGTCTCATTAATTAATGTCATTTTGATTCCAGAGATTAAGACTGTGTTTTCTCTGGCAATAAGGCTCAGCATACACCCATTCTTATGCAAAAATTTTGGCTATTTGCAAACAGTCATTAGGTAAACCCTTGGTTCAGGCAAGAGAATTACCCAAATCTCCTCCCTTCCTTACCAGGGGACACTTCTGGAGCTCATTGTGACATTGGTAGTGGTTTAAAGTCAGATCACAACAGGCAGTATTACAGCCACCATTGCCAAGAACTGAAGCACCATCTTGGATATTCTTCCCCTTCTAATTGATATGAAGGGTTGCAATAACATTTTAAGGTGTTTACATCTTATTTCATTTTTTTAACCATATAAAAAGTCTAATTTTTGACTCTTGGCCTCTGGAGAATTGTACTTTATTTCAAACCTTCCGAATTGATTATGGAGGCATCCAAGTTGTTCTGCATCTTTGCTCAGAGGAATAGTATCCAATAACAGGAATACTATCCAATATTGTATAACAACTTCCAATGTTCTAATGAAGAAAAGAGTTCATTTCTTTGTTCCATGGATTGTTTTCCAAAAATCCTTGAATGGGAAGACACTAGAGCTAACCCCCCTACCCTCCCAATTCTATTAGGGACATAAGATTCTCCCTTCCCAGGCCAGGGCTGTTTCTTTTCTAAACCAGTATGCTTCTGATTCTAAACCCATATAGTTCAAATCCACACAACCAGACACTTCTCTCAGATGCTCACTTCCTTTGAAAAACAAGCTTAATGGTTGTTCACTCTCTACCCTTCCCTCACCTGAGCTGCTACAGAAGAAGGTCACTCTGAACAGCAGGGGAGGCCCCCATTGATCTTCATGGTGGAGGTGGCTGCTATGCAAAAACTGCTCAAGCTGTCACAGCAGCTGTTTCAGCCATGAGGTAGGAAAGGGGCCATGTTTATATGGCAAGCCTGGCTTCCCTGCCTCCCCTCTGAGTTCATCCAGAGTCAATGCTGCCTTTGAGAGGCTCTCAAAGCACAATGTCACACCCTGGGTGGTGTGGCAGTCCTTCTCACTTAATTGCTACTTCCTATCTGACCAACACATTAGTTATTTGAGGTGAGAACTATTTTTCTGTCTTTCCTAAAAATGGGGACTGTTAGAATTCTAAACCTCTTGTATTAGAAGAACTTGACTTGGCCTAGTTATGAAATAAGTGAAAATATCACAATTTCTTTAGTTCACAAACACCCAGATTTGACAGATCATACTTATGTTTATATTTTGGCTTCTGGGAAACTATAGTTTTATTTTTGAGGCAATAAACATATGAAGCAAAAAGGGACCTAGTGGAAGGAACAGTGATTTTAGCATTTATGAAGTTTGGAGAAGAGTGTTGACATTTTCTAGCTGTGTGATCTTGGGGAAGTCATTTATGAAGCTACCAGAAACACCGGGTTATGTTGTGGTAACATATTACCCAAGGTGTATGTATCTCAGAACAAATTATATTTTTTAATTAAGCTGAACATGTAAGGTGGTCAGCTAATGGTCCTGCATTATCTTCAACAGGTCCCAGGTGGGCAGAGTTATCACTATTTGGAATGTTGTTCATTGTCAAGTTTAAGTGTCAACTTGTTCTTGAGTTTCTCCCTTTTGAGAAATTAAGTATTTCAGTCCAGAGGTGACACCACTGCCACTTTCCCTCACCATCAGGTGGGCTGCTCCAATCATAGAGGATGTGGAGTGTGTTGTTACCTTGTCCTTGGACAACCAGATCGGGGAGAACTGAAAATAGTTTGCAAATGACACAGAATCTATCCCAGAACTTTAGCTGCATTTCATCTCCATTGAGAACTATTACTTGCCACAATAGAGTTCATATAATTGGTGTCATGTACGTGAAAATCCAAAGTGCAGTGCATGTAATTGTAATTGTGATGATGACGATGATTACTGATGAGCCAAGAGTTTCTGCTACAGGTTTCTGACATTAGCTTATAAACTGCATTGGGCCAAATGGCTGTTGTTTGTCTACTGAGTTTAAGGGCATATGAATGAATGAAAACCTGGGGGAAGTCAGTTTACCCTTCTCCCCCAATGCTCTGCCAGGTAGGTTTATTTTAGTAGATTCTGAAACACAATATCTACAAAAGATTATAAGTTAATAAATTACGTTGAATGACTCTATAAGTTTTTGATTCTTACATCTGTTTGGGGATCAATATAATCTAATAGTAAGAATATAGCCATGGCCCAGCTGGTGTGGCTCAGTGGTTGAGTGTTGACCCATAAGCCCAGGTTGCAGGCTCAATCCCCAGTAGGGGGCATGCAGGAGGCAGCTGATCTATGATTCTCTCCCATCAATCATGTTTCTATCTATCTCTCCCTCTCCCTCCCTCATTCTGAAGTCAATTAAAAAACATATATTTTTAAAAGATAATGTGGGCATGAAGACCAGTGGATTTTATTTGTCATCTTATTTTAAATATATGTTGACTCTGTGACTTTGAATATATAGGTTAAGCTCTGGATATTTTAGTTTCTCATCTGTGACAGAGAAATAATGTTTTACCTCACAAAGTGGTTTTGAGGGTTAAATGAGATTATATATATAAATTTGTGTGTGTGTGTGTGTGTGTGTGTGTGTCAAGATCATAATTAGAGCTTGACATGTGGTACTTAATTATAGGGAATGTGAGCTTTATGATAACTCATGAGGAAGGAATTTGTATGACCCTTATTTTATCCGTGCGTAAGTTGAGGCTCAGAGGATTTATGTAATCTTACCCAAGACCAAGATATGAATTAATGGAGAAGACTCTTTTGAGTTCAGTCATGGATAAGAAGCAAAGAAATTATCCTAATAAGAGATTTTTGTAAGATTTATTATTTCTATGAACTTTTGAAGAGAATGAATACTGAAAAAAAGCCATTATATTTCAAGAAGAGGAGTCTTCACTGCAGTTTGAAAATACAATTTTAACATAGAGGGGTGGGAATGGAATCAATGGATGACCAGGGTAAAGTGGAAAGATAAGGCTACAATATTTTTTTTTGATGTGTGATAGTAAATGGGAGGATGAGAATGGAAGAGGCAAGTGCTTCAGAAAGGTCTAAGCTAGACTGTGCATGCCTTTAAGCCAAAGCTAAGAAGAACTTTAAAATACATGATGAGGGTGGTTAATTAGAGGAATTAGAAAAGCAGGAAATAAGATGAACAGCACAGATTGAAGCACCATTCCCTCTGATACAGAGACAGAGATGATTAGATGAATCTAAAGAAGATATTTTGAAAGGTTGAGGAAGAAGGATGTGGGGAAACCCATGGTAAGGTTGGGTCCAGCTTTAAAGTTCTGATGGTCACTCTGGCAGTGCAAGATTTGGGTTGGTCTGGAAGCTGGAGAAGGATGGAGAAGGCTTGGCACAGACATCAATGGGACCTGTCAGAGAATCAACTGGGCTATAAAAATGAAGAGCCACTAGACATAATCGGCACTAGATAATAGCAGGTCCTGGCAGTACCATGCTGAATACTTCTGTATGGTACTGAGTGAGAAATGGAAAAAAGGGATTTTGTGGACAGGGAGTGTGTACATCAGAGACTTGAGAGGGAGTCATAAAGACTGTGGTCTGCTTGGAAGAGAGTTAAGTGTTCAAGAAGATTCTGATGGATTCTGCAAGGTGTGAGCATTTAAGGGTTCAGAGGTCAAGGTTTGGGCTTTGAGTGAACTTAAGTAGGTGTGGGCAATATGAACTTGAACAATTGTGTATGGAGGCAGTGGCTAGTAGGCCAAGTTTCAGATGAATTTCTCAGGGGTGGGGCTAAGATAATGATCCTCAGGGTGTATCTCAAGACAAAACAGATGAAGAATGGGTGGAGACAAAGGTCTTTGGGTTTTAAAAGGTGAGGAAACCTGAGG